GTAGGGTTGCTTTAATGAAATCTAACCGGGGGGAAACCGTGTCTTTGGGGCGGTAACGGCTCTCTGCAGCGTGGGAACAGTGATGGTATTTCCGTTAGGTAGAATCAGAGGAGTGGGGAGAGTGTGGGACTCGAACTCGCAACCATGGTGTTGGCAGCTCATGTGGGATGTTGTCATGTTGTCCTCAGATGTGGGAAGTACTTAAGTACAATTTTGAGGTAATTTTACTTTACTTGAGTATTTCTATTGATACTATGTACTATTACTCCACTATATTTAATAATATCTTTAGTTACTTTGTTTGTTTTTAATGGGGATTAGTGTGGGACTCGAACTCGCGACCATGGTGTTGGCAGCTGGGATGTTTACCTTCCTGTTGTGGTGGGAAGTACATTTACTCAAGTACTGTACTTAAGTACAATTTTGTATGTTCTTTTACTCCACGACAATTTTTTAATACCTTACGTTACTTAGTTTTATTTACTCGGGAGTAGGGATGGGTTAGGATTTTATCGATACAGATACCGATACTCTTATCGATACTTTTCTCTTTAGTTATTAATCTAACTAGCAATAACTGTTTATACTGTACGTGTTCTTGAATAGTGCTGTTATTTAGTCCATATTTTCAGTTGCAGTGTCACTTTTATCCTGTATTTTGAGCCTCTATGTTGCATTGTTGTAGTCATTTAAATAACTTGTTTTTTTTAAAACATTATAATTCGTTTTTTGGGAGACTTTGGATCATATTTCCTGGGACTAAAGATAGAAAATAACAACTGCAACTCTAGCTGCATCGTCCCTGTTACATAAACAAATAAATATACACATATTTACATCCCTAACTCCAGTTTGACGGGATGCACACCTGGATGTTCCCTTTTTCATTCTCACCTGCAGAAAACACCTGGATGTTTTTATTTTGTAGGAAACTTCTGAAGTTCCTTCCAGTGAGTGTGAGCAGGATCTGCCTTCAGTGGAATTCCCCTCCACTTCCTTTATAATCCATTAGAGTTGTAAACATGCATGGAGAACACACACACACACACACACACACACACACACACACACACACACACACACACACACACACACACACACACACACACACACACACACACACACACACACACACACACACACACACACACACACACACACACACACACACACACGTCTTCATAAAGGCTGAGCTTTTATCAGAACACGTTGTTTTCATCACAGATATTAGTGAATGTGAACTCAATATCACTTTACTTCAGTATTTCCGTTATATACTTTATTCTTTACTCCAAGAAGAAGACCCTTTATTTATAACCAGGGGAAAGTGGTTATTATTATACAAATTGCAAAACATATATATAAATAAACAAACACATGCATTTTCTGTTATGCAGATGTCGGAGCAAACAGGCTGCAGTTTACTTGATACTACACTTCAATCAAATGGCACATATTGTACATTTATTGGATGTTATCAGTAATTATGATTCTATATATATTATTCGGAAACGAGCCATTCTAAATAATTACTATTATGATACCTTACAATTACAATGATGCTAATAACTTAGATTTTTATTGGAGTTTTTGTATTTACAATGTAGTATTAGTACTTTAACTTTAGTAACATATCCCAGTATTGCCTTTCCTCTTACTCTGAGCGTGCGTCCTCAAACCAAAATGAAGATTTTCCCCGTAAAATGTTAAGTGATGCCAGAAAAAAATATTTCTGTTCCTCAGAAACGGTATAATGACTCCAGAAATCTGAGTATCAAACAGAGCGTCAGACGGTAACAAGTAACAAGTAACAAGTAACGTTAGAGACAGCTTAGTTTTTACGGAGCTTCGACGTCACGTTGTTGTTTACATCACATTGTTTACATCAGGTGACTTCTTGTATAAGGGCGTCATGTCCTCGAGAGAATCTATATATCTTATAAACAAGATCAGAGTACAGTAAAAAACCCTGATAGAAAATGCAGTAATAGACCATTAAAGCATAAAACATCTCTTATCAAATATGCATGAAAGCATTTTATCCATTAGGTTTGAGCTCTGCACACTGCACTCTTTCTCCGCCGGCAGACAGGAATGTGTGTGTTTATATGAAATGCTTGACTTATTTATAGAAACACATAAAAAGAAGCATTTTTGCAGAACAACCAGCAACATTAACTTAGCTTAGGAGGTGGAAAATCTTATGAGCTTAGAGTGGATCTACCTTAGAAAGTCAGCCCGGATGCATCTACTTTTGCAGTTATTTCAGACATTAAATCAGATGTTCTTTCTACTTTCTGTGCAGCAGAGAGCTTCACATGCTGTCAGTAGTTTTCAGTCTGTGCTGCAGCATTATGAGGATCTATATGCTCAGATTTAGAGGAGGGGGTTAAGCTGATTTGCTTTAATGTGTTGTAAATCAGTGATGACTGGCTGCAGGCCATAATGTGAGCAGCTGCATCACTTTAAAGATCAGTTCACTTTGTATTAAAATATTTATAGTTGATGGTATTTATTTACCCATGCAGATTGCTCTTGTTGATGTTTTCCAGTCTGTAAGGGATTTGCCATTTAAAACAATGGAAATGTCCCCCAAGGCTTTAAAAGAATGACCTAATCGTGAACACGGTCACATGACTTCACGTCACCACCGCTAAGCTAAAGGAGGCTAATGTTGGGCCATAAAGGAACTACAGCACGGTCACATGACTTCACGTCACCACCGCTAAGCTAAAGGAGGCTAATGTTGGGCCATAAAGGAACTACAGCACGGTCACATGACTTCACAATCACCACCGCTAAGCTAAAGGAGGCTAATGTTGGGCTATAAAGGAACTACAGCACGGTCACATGACTTCACGTCACCACCGCTAAGCTAAAGGTGGCTAATGTTGGGCTATAAAGGAACTACAGCTCGGTCACATGACTTCACGTCACCACCGCTAAGCTAAAGGCGGCTAATGTTGGGCTATAAAGGAACTACAGCTCGGTCACATGACTTCACGTCACCACAGCTAAGCTAAAGGAGGCTAATGTTGGGCTATAAAGGAACTACAGCACGGTCACATGACTTCACCTCACCACCGCTAAGCTAAAGGCAGCTAATGTTAGGCTATAAAGGAACTACAGCACGGTCACATGACTTCACATCACCACCGCTAAGCTAAAGGCGGCTAATGTTGGGCTATAAAGGAACGACAGCACGGTCACATGACTTCACGTCACCACCGCTAAGCTAAAGGTGGCTAATGTTGGGCTATAAAGGAACTACAGCTCGGTCACATGACATCACGTCACCACCGCTAAGCTAAAGGTGGCTAATGTTGGGCTATAAAGGAACTACAGCTCGGTCACATGACTTCACGTCACCACCGCTAAGCTAAAGGAGGCTAATGTTGGGCCATAAAGGAACTACAGCACGGTCACATGACTTCACGTCACCACCGCTAAGCTAAAGGTGGCTAATGTTGAATTGAATCATTGACCTCCAGACCAGGGGACAGGAAGTAAGAAAATGCTGACTCATTTCAGGGTTTTAGGATTCATTCCTGCACCTCTCTATTATTAAATCTCTGAACCTCTCATGAAGAATTTCTTTTTCTGCACGGTTGCTGATGCACAATACATATTTTAGTTTCCTTCTTCTGCATCACAGGCTGCATCTTCTGTGCATGGTAGCATCATCAGGGAAGTAGCTCTCTGATTGAAAAACATGCAGCGATGCAGATTTCTGCCGCCCTGAGGGAGAAGAGGTTTAATAAATCTGACCTACAGATCTGCATATTCAGGTGTTTTTCTGTTTTATTAATCACTCCCCAACAGATGCATCCAAAAAACTGAGGAATTAGTCAAAAGTTGTGAAGAGAAAACATGGCTTTCTTTGGTAGTCGCTGTTACTCAATGTTCCTTTTATAATTAGATATACAAATGTCATGATTACAGCTTTGATGTTTGTGTCATACATTTTTTAAATCAAGGCATGTAATCAAAACTGGTTAACATGATCAGTATAATCTATTATCTGTCTGTCACAAGTCACCAATCTGAAACTATCCTCATTCCTAATGTAAACAATAAAGCCTCCATTGGACTTCTTTGTTTACATCCGGGACAAAGTGACATCACTATGGAACACGCTCCTATTGGCTAGTGCTCCAGCACGAAAGGAAGACTGTGTGTGTGTGTGTGTGTGTGTGTGTGTGTGTGTGTGTGTGTGTGTGTGTGTGTGTGTGTGTGTGTGTGTGTGTGTGTGTGTGTGTGTGTGTGTGTGTGTGTGTGTGTGTGTGTGTGTGTGTGTGTGTGTGTGTGTGTGTGTGTGTGTGTGTGTGTGTGTGTGTGTGTGTGTGTGTGTGTGTGTGTGTGTGTGTGTGTGTGTGTGTGTGTGTGTGTGTGTGTGTGTGTGTGTGTGTGTGTGTGTGTGTGTGTGTGTGTGTGTGTGTGTGTGTGTGTGTGTGTGTGTGTGTGTGTGTGTGTGTGTGTGGTGAAGATGAAGTAGTCTCTAACAAAACACCAACGCTGTGATCAACCCCCATGAAATTAAGTAAAATGTGAAAGAACAGTGAGTCACTGACACACACGCACACACACACACACGCACACACACACACACAAGCTTCATGTCAGCTTCACACAAGTCTGGGCTCGCAGTGAAACGCAATCTGAAGCAGGTTTCCTTCAACATTTCCCTGCAGCAGCTCCCTGTACCTGCAGGTTGGGATCAGTAACGTGTGTGTGTGACGTCTCGTCCTTTTTCTGATCAACTGATTAGTTTAGAAAAAACAAGATGCCAAATCCCACAGGCAAAGGTAACACCTTCATATGTCTTGGTTCTTCCTTAGCAACAGTTTAAAAACACAATCAGGTTGTGTGTGTGCAGAGTGGCAACATGTCCGTTAAAGTTGAAATCTTCCGGACAAAATGAGAAAAGTGCCGGAAAAGTCTTCTTTGTTATTTATTGAGCTTTAAAACAAATTGATATGATTCGATATTAAACAAACTAA